CGGCGGCTTTGGCAAGGGCAGCGGTGCCGAGGGGTGCCGGCAGCCCCGGATTCTCAGGGGGAGCCCTCCTTTACATACGGATCACCTGTCCGCCCTGGAGCGCTGCAGGGTCAGCCGGGGCTGAACATGGAAATCACAGGAGGCGTCTAGGCCTCGTGCACCCCTCCCCCCCAGTCCAGAGGGTGAGTAAGGGGTGTGGATACCCTGTGTGTCCCGGTGCCTGCCGTGGTGCTTGTGTGCGCACTGCAGGAGCTGGGGGCAGCTCCATCTGGAAGGCAACAGGGGTTGTCGGGCTAAGAACACTGGCCCGTATTTCTCCAATATAAGGCTGGTGACCCTGGCGGGGAGGGGAGGGGTCCCGCTCCAGTCTTCGACATCCCCTTCAGAATCTAGCCCCTTGTCTCGTGGGCCCACATCCTCAGAGGTATTGAGGGGCCTGTGGCTTTCAAGGGGCGTGAGGTACCAAACTACCTCTGCAGAGCAGGGGAGGGGCCCCGTGCCTCAGTTTCCCCATCTGTACAATGGGGGTAATGGCACTGCCCTGTCCTCACAAGAGCCAGGGAGGTGCCCAGGCACATGGGCGAGGGGAACCGGGCAGGCCTGGCGCTCCACAAGCAGCGGGCCCAGGAGCAGGTTGGCAGGGGCAGAGAAGGGCTGGCCAGAAATCCCCGTGGCACAGCAGGTGCGGTGACAACGGTGTCTGAGGCGGCTGCAAATGCCCCAGAGAGCCCAGAACCCGGTGGGCTGCCACCATTGGCCGCAGCGCTAATTAGCCATGTGCCAGGCAGGTCACTGGCCGCCCTGGGCGTCGGGATTTGGACGCCGTTGCGCTTCGTGGGCTGGCGTAAGGGCTCGTGGCCAGACCGCAAATGACCCCAGAGCCACAGGGACGGCTGGGCTGGGCCGACGCGCGGCCGCATGGCAGGTGCCTCGCGCAGGCCTTCTCCTGCCTGCTTGGGGCTTTCTCCAGGTGCAGCCGGGAAGCGTCCTGGTGTGAGCCCAGAGGCCTGATCCAACCCCCCAGGTCTCTCTTCCTCCACTTGAGCAGCCCCCTGGCCGCAGGAGGGAAACGGGAGGGGACGAGGCCATCGGGCAAGCGCAGGCCGAATCTCTGGCAATATTTCCTCATGCGGAGGGGGCGGGGGCTTGCCTGCTTGGGGCTTTCTCCAGGTGCAGCCGGGAAGCGTCCTGGTGTGAGCCCAGAGGCCTGATCCAACCCCCCAGGTCTCTCTTCCTCCACTTGAGCAGCCCCCTGGCCGCAGGAGGGAAACGGGAGGGGACGAGGCCATCGGGCAAGCGCAGGCCGAATCTCTGGCAATATTTCCTCATGCGGAGGGGGCGGGGGCTATGCTGGTGTCTCTCAAGGAGTGAGATAACCAGGCCGGACCATCCATGGCAGGGAGCGAGTCTCCGCTGGGCAGGGTCTGGCCTGGGTGCAGCTGAGCGGGAAAAGCGATAAATGGTGCACACACTCTGAGCGACAGCCATCCAGAGTCCCAGCTCGCCCTGATCCACCACTGGACCCCACCCGTGGCTCTGGAACAATTTGGGGCTGGAGGTGCTGAGCTGCGCTCCCCACTGCCCCAGGCTGGGGCGGATGGTGAGGGGTCCCCAGGCCTGCAGCACGGCCCCCACGCTGGGCAGCCAGGCCGCTGGGTGGCAGCAGAGCCCCTGGTGGCCCGGACCGCAGGCTCAACGTTCCCTCTAATCTTTTTCATCCATGTGCAGATGTTCTTTCAATCCAAGTGT